AACTTCAAGGTCAAATTCAAGGTCAAAGGACGGGGAACTGAAAAAGTGCCACTAAATATTGTCCGATTTTCAAAATTTTGGCACCAAAATGTAGCGCGTGCAAAGTTCTAGCCGCACATCGAAAACCATTTTCATCAAGGTGAAACTTCAAGGTCAAATTCAAGGTCAAAGGACGGGGAACTGAAAAAGTGCCACTAAATATTGTCCGATTTTCAAAATTTTGGCACCAAAATGTAGCGCGTGCAAAGTTCTAGCCGCACATCGAAAACCATTTTCATCAAGGTCAAACTTCAAGGTCAAATTCAAGGTCAAAGGACGGGGAACTGAAAAAGTGCCACTAAATATTGTCCGATCTTCAAAATTTTGGCACCAAAATGTAGCGCGTGCAAAGTTCTAGCCGCACATCGAAAACCATTTTCATCAAGGTCAAACTTCAAGGTCAAATTCAAGGTCAAAGGACGGGGAACTGAAAAAGTGCCACTAAATATTGTCCGATTTTCAAAATTTTGGCACCAAAATGTAGCGCGTGCAAAGTTCTAGCCGCACATCGAAAACCATTTTCATCAAGGTCAAACTTCAAGGTCAAATTCAAGGTCAAAGGACGGGGAACTGAAAAGGTGCCACTAAATATTGTCCGATTTTCAAAATTTTGGCACCAAAATGTAGCGCGTGCAAAGTTCTAGCCGCACATCGAAAACCATTTTCATCAAGGTCAAACTTCAACGTCAAATTCAAGGTCAATGGACGGGGAACTGAAAAAGTGCCACTAAATATTGTCCGATTTTCAAAATTTTAGCACCAAAATGTAGCGCGTGCAAAGTTCTAGCCGCACATCGGCTAGAATAAAGTTCCCCGTCCTTTGACCTTGAGTTTGACCTTGAAGTTTGACCTTGATGAAAATGGTATTCGATGTGCGGCTAGAACTTTGCACGCGCTACATTTTGGTGCCAAAATTTTGAAGATCGGACAATATTTAGTGGCACTTTTTCAGTTCCCCGTCTTTTGACCTTGAATTTGACCTTGAAGTTTGACCTTGATGAAAATGGTTTTCGTTGTGCGGCTAGAACTTTGCACGCGCTACATTTTGGTGCCAAAATTTTGAAAATCGGACATTATTTAGTGGCACTTTTTCAGTTCCCCGTCCTTTGACCTTGAATTCGACCTTGAAGGTCAAGGTTTAGGGGTGAATGGGTTCGATTTTCGTGATCCTCATGGTCCAATTGACCTTGGACGAGGTTTTGGCTAAAATCAGTGCTCGTCGCTGGAAAAGTCGCTGGTGACGTAGCATTTTTTAAAGTTCCCCGTCCTTTGACCTTGAGTTTGACCTTGAAAATTGACCTTGATGAAAATGGTTTTCGATGTGCGGCTAGAACTTTGCACGCGCTACATTTTGGTGCCAAAATTTTGAAGATCGGACAATATTTAGTTGCACTTTTTCAGTTCCCCGTCCTTTGACCTTGAATTTGACCTTGAAGTTTGACCTTGATGAAAATGGCTTTCGATGTGCGGCTAGAACTTTGCACGCGCTACATTTTGGTGCCAAAATTTTGAAAATCGGACAATATTTAGTGGCACTTTTTCAGTTCCCCGTCCTTTGACCTTGAATTTGACCTTGAAGTTTGACCTTGATGAAAATGGCTTTCGATGTGCGGCTAGAACTTTGCACGCGCTACATTTTGGTGCCAAAATTTTGAAAATCGGACATTATTTAGTGGCACTTTTTCAGTTCCCCGTCCTTTGACCTTGAATTTGACCTTGAAGGTCAAGGTTCAGGGGTGAATGGGTTCGATTTTCGTGATCGTCATGGTCCAATTGTCCTTGGACGAGGTTTTGGCTAAAATCGGTGCTCGTCGCTGGAAACGTCGCTGGTGACGTAGCATTTTTAAAGTTCCCCGTCCTTTGACCTTCAGTTTCACCTTGAAGTTTGACCTTGATGAAAATGGTTTTCGATGTGCGGCTAGAACTTTGCATGCGCTACATTTTGGTGCCAAAATTTTGAAGATCGGACAATATTTAGTTGCACTTTTTCAGTTCCCCGTCCTTTGACCTTGAATTTGACCTTGAAGTTTGACCTTGATGAAAATGGCTTTCGATGTGCGGCTAGAACTTTGCACGCGCTACATTTTGGTGCCAAAATTTTGAAGATCGGACAATATTTAGTGGCACTTTTTCAGTTCCCCGTCCTTTGACCTTGAATTTGACCTTGAAGTTTGACCTTGATGAAAATGGTTTTCGATGTGCGGCTAGAACTTTGCACGCACTACATTTTGGTGCCAACATTTTGAAGATCGGACAATATTTAGTGGCACTTTTTCAGTTCCCCGTCCTTTGACCTTGAATTTGACCTTGAAGTTTGACCTTGATGAAAATGGTTTTCGATGTGTGGCTAGAACTTTGCACGCGCTACATTTTGGTGCCAAAATTTTGAAGATCGGACAATATTTAGTGGCACTTTTTCAGTTCCCCGTCCTTTGACCTTGAATTTGACCTTCAAGTTTGACCTTGATGAAAATGGTTTTCGATGTGCGGCTAGAACTTTGCACGCGCTACATTTTGGTGCCAAAATTTTGAAAATCGGACAATATTTAGTGGCACTTTTTCAGTTCCCCGTCCTTTGACCTTGAATTTGACCTTGAAGTTTGACCTTGATGAAAATGGCTTTCGATGTGCGGCTAGAACTTTACACGCGCTACATTTTGGTGCCAAAATTTTCAAAATCGGACAATATTTAGTGGCACTTTTTCAGTTCCCCGTCCTTTGACCTTGAATTTGACCTTGAAGTTTGACCTTGATGAAAATAGTTTTCGATGTGCGGCTAGAACTTTGCACGCGCTACATTTTGGTGCCTAAATTTTAAAGATCGGACAATATTTAGTGGCACTTTTTCAGTTCCCCGTCTTTTGACCTTGAATTTGACCTTGAAGTTTGACCTTGATGAAAATGGTTTTCGATGTGCGGCTAGAACTTTGCACGCGCTACATTTTGGTGCCAAAATTTTGAAGATCGGACAATATTTAGTGGCACTTTTTCAGTTCCCCGTCCTTTGACCTTGAATTTGACCTTGAAGTTTGACCTTGATGAAAATGGCTTTCGATGTGCGGCTAGAACTTTGCACGCGCTACATTTTTGTGCCAAAATGTTGAAAATCGGACATTATTTAGTGGCACTTTTTCAGTTCCCCGTCCTTTTACCTTGAATTTGACCTTGAAGGTCAAGGTTCAGGGGTGAATGGGTTCGATTTTCGTGATCCTCATGGTCCAATTGACCTTGGACGAGGTTTTGGCTAAAATCGGTGCTCGTCACTGGAAAAGTCGCTGGTGACGTAGCATTTTTAAAGTTCCCCGTCCTTTGACCTTGAATTTGACCTTGAAGTTTGACCTTGATGAAAATGGTTTTCGATGTGCGGCTAGAACTTTGCACGCGCTACATTTTGGTGCCAAAATTTTGAAGATCGGACAATATTTAGTGGCACTTTTTCAGTTCCCCGTCCTTTGACCTTGAATTTGACCTTGAAGTTTGACCTTGATGAAAATGGTTTTCGATGTGCGGCTAGAACTTTGCACGCACTACATTTTGGTGCCAACATTTTGAAGATCGGACAATATTTAGTGGCACTTTTTCAGTTCCCCGTCCTTTGACCTTGAATTTGACCTTGAAGTTTGACCTTGATGAAAATGGCTTTCGATGTGCGGCTAGAACTTTGCACGCGCTACATTTTGGTGCCAAAATTTTGAAAATCGGACATTATTTAGTGGCACTTTTTCAGTTCCCCGTCCTTTGACCTTGAATTTGACCTTGAAGGTCAAGGTTTAGGGGTGAATGGGTTCGATTTTCGTGATCCTCATGGTCCAATTGACCTTGGACGAGGTTTTGGCTAAAATCGGTGCTCGTCGCTGGAAAAGTCGCTGGCGACGTCGCCAACTTCACGGACATTCCTGTTAGCTGGGGTGGTCCTCTCTCCCTTCCCTTGACATTACTGTTCCGAAAATCGCTTGAAACTGGGTCTATTCCTGCAGACTGGAAGCACGGTAAAGTCATACCCATCTTTAAGAAAGGTGAAAAGGAAGACCCAAGAAACTATAGACCTGTCAGCCTCACATCTGTTCCCTGTAAGATTCTTGAGTCGCTCATCCGTGATTGTTTAATGGACCATTTGCTGTCAAATGACCTGCTGTCCAAGGACCAACATGGCTTCCGCCCGAAGCGATCTTGTGACACGCAACTGCTTGACTCTATAGACTCATGGAGCCGCCTGTTGGAGGACAAGACGGAGGTCGAAGTGATTTACCTTGACTTCCGAAAGGCGTTCGACTCCGTCCCACACAAGAGACTGATAGGCAAGCTGCGCTGTTATGGTATTGGTGACCGAGTGTTGTCTTGGATTGAATCATTCCTGGAAGGCAGAATGCAGCAAGTGTCCCTATATGGAAACCTGTCAGACCTGGTCCCTGTGCGCAGTGGTGTGCCCCAAGGCTCAGTGTTGGGCCCATTGCTCTTCTTGCTTTATGTCAATGACTTGCCAGATGCTGTCACTTCAAATGTGCGAATGTTCGCGGATGACACAAAGCTGTTCTCAGGCATCTCTTCTGAACATGATGTGCGGACATTGCAGGCAGACCTGAACGCCCTCGTGGAATGGTCTAGAACTTGGCAGCTGCCATTTAACGAGAATAAGTGCAAAGTGCTTCATGTTGGTGCAGCCAAGGACCGCCACTCATTTCAAATGGGGTCGGACAGACTGACAAACACGTCAGTCGAGAGACCTGGGTGTGCAGGTCGACTCAATCTTGAAGTTTCGACAGCAAGCGTCTACGGCGGTCTTTAAAGCGTCTCAAGTTCTTGCGGTCATCCGCCGGTCCTTCGCCTTTTTAGATGAATTTACCCTGCCTCTTCTTTTCAAATCTCTCGTGCGGCCTCACCTGGAGTTCAGCAGTCTTGTTTGGGGTCCGTTCAATAGAGCTGATCAGAAGGCAGTCGAAAGGGTCCAAAGAAGAGCCACCCGGTTAGTGGTGAGCATCCGCCACCTTCCATATCCTGAAAGGCTGAAGAGACTGAAGCTCCCGTCACTGTATTATCGGCGTAGACGCATGGATATGATTCACGCATACAAGATGCTGCACGGCCACGTTGATACTGATCCTTCAGAGCTTCTGGCAACGAATCCTGAAAGACGAACTCGGGGTCACACACTTAAACTACGGAAGCCTCGTGCAACCTGTCGTGCCAGACTGAATTCATTTTCTGTACGGTGTATTAACGATTGGAACGGGCTTCCAGCAGAAATTGTACATTCGCCCTCAGTCAACGTCTTTAAGAACAGGCTGGATGCGCACTGGGAGTCGATCTGGTACTCCACTCCTGTAACAGACTGAGTACTAAGTGAAGTTATGGAAATCGGCGAGAACGGGCCCTACAGGACATCGTGCCTCTTGTCCCGATAACACGAAGATGAGAAGATGAAACACTCGTCATAACGGCAGCAGAAAATTAGTGCGTTTAAGTATAACAATACACACACAGCTATTGTCATGGCATAGTCGCATGCAAGCGAGACTGCAGTGAAATGGCACCTCTAAATTACTCACGTAAAATATACGTACTACGTGGGTTCCTTGAGCCACTGACAGACACATCTCTGAATGTCGTAGATAGGCCACCAAAAGCGCACACAAAACCATGGATCAATGTTATGCATCATAAAATAAAGCGAGAATAACACATCTGCGTCTGGGGACCAGCCCCATGCGAACAAGCGTCGAGCAATTCGTCATACAAAGATGGCAGCTCAAAAACAATTATGCATGAGGGCGAAACAAGCCACATTAAGGCACACATCCTGCAAAACGGCAGTTGGCGTTTTGTAGAAAGAAGACCTACTGAAAGCTACCACTCAAGGAAAACACGATGGTCAGTCATGTCGCAACCTGACCAAAACCAACTAACTCTACTAAACACACCGCAATACAACTCCCGCAGCTGTCCTCAGATCCCGAACTTTCAATCTGTTATCAGAACAATGTGTTTTCAGGGACGCAGCAGCGTTAGGTGTCACTGCCAATTCGGTGTCGAGGAAACGTCATTCTGAGGACGGCAACTGCAGCCGTCGGTCCCCGCCATGGTTTCGCCAGTTTAAACTCCTTCACTTGACTGAGTAGTTGTGCAGTGTACAAATATTATCCACCAGTCTCAAAATCGACTGGTACAGAACGCATCACAACTACCCCATCGACCCCCACAGCCTCGTCAACCCCTCCCTCCCGCTCACCCCTCCGTCGCGAGCTCACGGGTCCTCGGGACGGAGCATCAGACCCCTGGGGAACACCTGTCTGACATTGACATTGATCCGGCTCCGGCTCAGGTACTCTATGACCGGGTCCGTGCCGCCGCCGCCGCCGCGGCCCCCGGACTCACACTCACACCGGATGACGTCACGGTGGTGGGTGACGTCACCGTTGGCCGCGGCGGCCACACGGGCCAGTTTCGGCTGGCCGCAGCAGTCGGCACTCAGCTTACGCTTACCGTCGTGCCATCTGTCGGACAGAAAAAGGAAACGGAGGAATGGTCAGTGTCCGAGCCCAGAGGCGGTGATGGGATTGATGGGGATTGGGGAGGCGAACGACTGTCAAAACACCTACGGGTTCCCACAGAGTTAATAAATCCAAGGCAAAATATCTACCCCCTCCCCCCCCCCCCCCCCCAACAACAACACACGCAGACAAACGTCATTCATCCCACGGCATCCATCCCACATTCCCTACATCCTGCTACCTCGGTCTAGCCAGCTGTCCGGTCTCACCCGCCGTCCGTAGCCAGCAGCAGCCGCAGCACGGCGTGGTAGCTGGACCGTCAGCCCCTCCCCGGCCCCCGCGGCCCGCACCCATCGTGCAGTTGTGACCGCTCGGGTGCCCCGGCCCTCCTTCCATCCCTCACCCGCCGCGCGTCAGTAGGCCGCTCCGCCGTCCCCCTTCTCCTCACCTACTGTGCATCGGTGGGTAGTCAGATCCCCTAGTCCCCGGCCTGACCCACCGTGCGAATGTAGCCCGTCAATCTTCCCCTCCCTGCCCACTGTGCGTCTATGGCCGATCAGCCCTCCCCCTAACCCACCGTGCGTCTGTGGCGGGCATCAGGCGCGGCACGGCGTGGTAGCTGAGCCGACTGGGGCCGGTCATCACCAGCACATCTCCGCTGCGGAGGTAGAGCGCCACAGGTGCCTGGGAGCGGTCCCGGCCGCCCAGCAGGAACACCGCCGACTGGCCGAAACTGGCGGCAGGGGTGGCCGGTTAGAGGACGGTGACAGCACGGTAAAGTTACCGAAACTGACCGCAGAGGGTGTCACTGTTAAGAGAGTGGTGAGTGGGGTGGCATGTTGTTGTTGTTGTTGTTTCTCCCTCTGCTCCTCACGGGAGCATAGCCAGGCGGCTCTGGAAGCGTCTGGCGGCGGCCGCCAGGGCCGCCACCACTGAGGTCTCCCGGACCTCCTCCATCCTGGGATGGATGTGACCCAGGGTTGAATGTCTCAGTCGCATCAGCGCCGGACATCTCAGCAGCACGTGTGCCGGCGTGTCAGGCTCCTCATTGCACAGGGGGCAGCGGGCCGCCACACAGCCCTCGTCGCGGCAGCCCTCACATCCCACAGAGGGAACGGCCCCGATCCTGTGCAGATAGGCCCTGGAGCCCGACCAGTGCCCGGCCCGCAGCTGGTGGACGTCCACCGCGCACTCCCGGTCCAGCCCCGCCACCGGTGGGGGGAATCGGCCCCCCATCAGCGACCGGAACCAGCCGGGGGGCCAGGCCCGGACCGTGTCGTCGCGGGCGGCCCTAGCCACTGCTCGGGTGATTGTCCTGATGTCTGCAGGCACGCTGTCTTGTGGTAGTTCCGCGGCCTCTCGGGCCACTCTGTCGGCTCGCTCATTACCCTCCACACCACAGTGCGAGGGGACCCACTGGACGTGGATCTTCCGGCCATTATCCGAGAGGGCGAGCATGGCTCTCCAAGCCGCAACCCCCAGCGGGGAGGTCTGGGCGGCCGGGCCGTTGCGCAGGGTCGCCACTGCTGAGAGGCTATCCGTGCAAACCACGATAGGCAGGTCCTGGTCTCTGTCTCTTTGGGTTAGGGTCTCCAGGCCGGTCACCAGCGCTACCATCTCTGCGCGGTAACTGGAACATAGCTGTCCGGCCGGGGCCCGCAGCTCCTCGGTCTCTTCATCCGGCCAGACCAGCACAGCCCCAGCTCCGCCCCTCGAGACTCCGCCCGCCGCGGACCCGTCCGTCCACAGCCAGACGGCGCACTGCGGCAGGGACGCGAGGTGCAGGGCGGCCGCGCGCTCCCTTTCCGCCGCCGCAGCGCCGGCCCGGAGGGGGCCCACGTCCATCCGGAAGGTGACGCCTGATGTCTGCCGCCACGGCGGTATCCGAGGGGGGAGCACCGGCTCCACCGGCAGCGCGACTCCGGCCTTGTCCCAGGCCCGGCGGCCCCGCTCTCTCCACCCCCGAACTGAGGCCAGGCGCGCCGGTGCCGAGGCCTCGGCGGTCGCGCGCAGGGGGTCCCCCGGCGGCAGGGCCAGCGCCCTTCCCAGCAGCCTGGCGGCCAACGTCCATCCCCTCTCCTCCATCGGGGCTAGTCGAGCCTCCGCCATCAGCGCGTGGGTCGGTGTTGATCGTGGGCACCCGGTGATGATGCGGGCCGCCTCCCGCAGTTCCCGCTCCAGGAGCTCCACGTGCGAGGGGGCGGCCGCCGGCAGCCACGCGGCGGCGGCGTGCTCGAGCGCCCCGCGGACGTAGCCGTTGGCCACCGTCCTCAGGGCATCCTCGTCCAGGCCCCAGCTGCGTCCGCCGAGGCGGCGCAGGTGAGCCAGCCGGGGGCGAACTCGTTTCCGGAGACGACGACAGTGGGCACCGAACTGGAGGCGGCGGTCGAGCTCTATGCCGAGGAGGACTAGGGTGTCTTTCGCCTGGCATTGAGGCGAAAGACACCCTAGTCCTCCTCGCCTGGCAGTGGGGTGGCATTGAACTTCAGAGAGAGGTTTGTAAGTCAGCCGGGCGAGGGATATGATAAGGCGAGGTTAGAAGATAGTGGGGTGGGTAAGGGAATGCTTTGGTGTTTTGATGAGGATGGAATGGGTCGAACGCAGCATGAAGTCCTTGTCAGTATGACGAACAGAAATCCCAGTGCCTAAGAACGACTAGGTCGCCTCATCAGTGCGCCTGCCTCCCATCCCTCCCAAGCCCAGGGTGCGATGGGTATTGAGGACAAACACACAAATCACAGCATCACGCGGCGACAGTTCGAGTGGCACCCCACCTCAGGGAGAGGAGCGGCGCCGTCATGTCCCACTCGGAGTGGTCCGTGTGCGGCGCCAGCGTCGAGTCCGAGTGGTAAAAGTTGACGATGGCCGCCTCGGGCGAGTAGCTGGGCCAGCCGACACATCCGGCCAGCAGAGAGGCCAGCCGGGCCAGGTCGGACGGGAACGGCGAACGGTCACACAGGTTATATAACTGAAACGGAATAGTTAAACAGTTGAAATGGACTGGGAACGAGCACATATCATACGACTGAACTGGAACACACACAGTTTTATTTTTACGCTTTACGTCAGTGATTGAGGATTGTGACGACATTCCACAACTCTGACTACTTATGCAGACCATCCTGGTGCCTGGCACTACGCCTACTGAGCTGAATTCCTTCTACTTTCCGGCGTCATTTATCCCATGCCTCACCTCCCCCCCCCCCCCCGAAAAAAACACGCGTCAGACATTCACTGGTCTCACCTACCTTGGTCTCCCAGTCGTGGTGGAACCCGAGTGTCACCCAGCGCAGCTTCTTCAGACGCTCCCAGTCCACTCCACTGGCGGAGACGGCAGATTTGAACGGTCAGACACCGGTCGGAACGACTTCGAGATAGTTCAAAACAACACATAATGTTCTCAGGTATAGACATCAAGTATTAGCGATGTTACCTGTCCCCACCAACAGATTTTTAAGTCATATTGCATAAAGACTAGCCAAGAAAGTAAAACAAAATCTTTATCGTATACGGGACGATCGAAAATACGTATAATTCGCCACGAGTCCAGCCTGTTTCTCCATCGCGCTAACCGGTAGCACAGCTCGGCGGCCACTCACTCGAGGCAGTGTTTCCACCAGTTACCGCCAGGTGGCAGCAGACCCTGGGCGTCCAGGTTGGTCTTGTTCGGGTGACCGGGCAGGTCTCGCACGCAGCGGCCGGCCCAGTGGCGCTGGCCGGCCGCGGTGAACGGGTTCCGTAGCAGGATCATACCTGCGGAAAGTGAGAGGTTTTGTCATCGCACGACGTTACAGAGGATAGAGGAAAACGTCGATCCATTTAAGACATCGGGTTACGTTATGTTCGGAATTCAAAATTAGCTTGTAGATGGTCCGGATTGCTCCTGTGGCTATCATTCATTGCGAGGACCAAAAACATTTTATTTTGCACTGTCCCCTTTATGCTAATGCTAGGATTAGAATGCTTTTTGAAATATCACAATTAATTCCTACTTTCTCACAATTACTTGACAAAGTACAACTTGACATACTTTTGAAGGGAACTCACATAGCAAGTAATCAAGCGAAGCAAGTGGCGAATATCATTCAGGGATTCATTTTTGAAACAAAACGATTTGCTTAAAAAAAAGATGCCACGGGCAGTGGACAGCAGATGTGGTCTACTATAGGACCAGACGGGCTCCGCCGGCCTGTGGCGAAACCCTGAGTTGCCAAGCATTGGGCCCCCGCCCCTATGACCCTTCCGGGCCAACCTGGGTACCGGTCCCACTTGAAAGGGACCGGTCGCGGCCTGTCGGGTCGGGTCGGCGCTCCCCTCGCCCGGGCGGTGGTTAGGGGGCACCCCCGGGAAAGATGATTTTCCGGGGGTGCGGGCGGGGGCTCGCGGCCCGTCTGGAGCGCCGGGGAGGTATCCACCAGATCTTCCCGGCCCGGGGAGGTATCCCACATCTCTCCTCGGGGCCGGGACGGCATATGCCATGGATTGTCCATGCCCATAATCATGAATAAACGACAAACAAACAAACAAACAAACAAACAAACAAACGTCCAACCGTCACGGGAGACATCAGGGTAACGTTGATTCGTCACGGGGGAAAGCGAGTAACGTCGGTCTATCATGGACCATACAATTTTATTGTTTTCTGTATGAGAATTGAGAATGCAGATTACCCTATAAAGCAGCCTGGGAGGCAATTTAAAGGATGGAGAGTAAACTTGATCAGCTTGAACTATTAGTGTGACTTTGACACAACTATAATTTTCAATAATTGGTTGAAAAGTAATCAAGTTAAAGGAAAAGGGCCACCTTTAACATGGGGATTGAAACTGAGATAGCCATCTTGTAGCCCGTGTCCGAAAACCTATTTGTCTACGTCCACCTTACGGCCGATTTCGGCCTCCATTCGTAGTTATCGGCAATTTTAAAAGAAAATACGCCAGGAATGCGTCCTTATCCCAGGAATGCGTTCTTATCCGACAATACAGCCACCCGCGGCGAGGCTTTGGTTTTTTACCAATCAGCTCCAACCAGCTCAGCTTTAACCAATCAGCTTATCTGACACAACCCGACGAGTCTGTCTTCTGAACGCTGATTGGCTTGAGTGTGACGTCATCGCTATGCCATCATACAGTAGGTGCCGTAGAGAGTATCAACATAGTACCAATATGTTAAATAGTTTTAAATACTTTTTCGCGAATTGTGCACTTCTGGCACCAGTTTAAAAAAAAAAGAAAAATAATGTCAAAATGAAAAACAACGATATCTTCATATTTCACGAAGGTGGCCCTTTTCCTTTAAAGGAAGTTTGATGGGTGCAAAAAATACTAGAATGACAGACAATAGCTGGGAGAACAAAACCTTATGACAATATGCTCCGGTTTCACATACCTGGATGTGATTCCAAGGAGAATGCCTTCCATTCTTGTGGGTGGACCAATCCCAGTTCTTGGAAGGCAGTGCGATCATCTGGGATCAGCACTTGGTACGGTTTAACATTCCCCTGAGAGCAGTCAACAAAGTGTCAGCAAAAGGGAGAAATGACTTGCTTTGCAAGTTGCAACTCAGTTGACAAATGGAACACATTTTGATCAGGAATCAAATACCTAGGTATCATGAAAGCTAATGTTTGTCAAGCGATAATGTGCAGCTTCTTAAATCAAATGAAATTAATAAAGCATCCAGAACTGAGCACATTGCTATGTTTGATTACCAAATGGTTTGAAAATAAAAAAGCAGTTTATACAAAACAGTTGCAAAGTAGGCTAGGTCTGCAAGAAAAGGAAACACTGTCACTCCAAATTCTAGATTCTGATACTGATACACTAGCAGATAGTGCTAGTAAATGGAGTAGACTAGTAGATGTAGATGGGTGATTTACACATCACTTACATGCAAGCCTCCTGCTTCACATTGGTCAAAGTCAATGACATTTGAGAGATCAGGTGGGGGCTTTCTTCTTTTGAAGTATTTGAAACCTTCTCTCATAAGATCTGGGCTGTTGTTTTCTGGTAGACTCGGCTCTGCTGATGCAGAGCCTCCAGTTAAATCAACTTCCATTGCACTATCCGTATCCATATCAATTTCTGGAAAAGCAGAGCATAATTTTATGGTCAGTTGAGGATAACAAGCATTGTATACCTAACTAGCATTTGCTAACTCAAACCAGAGTATATAGACTCAAACTGTCTGATGGGATTGGGTTAAAACTGAACATACCAAATTTAGCTATTCATGTACTTTGTTCATGAGTTCTGGTTCAGTGGTAAGATGAAGAATCTGGTTCCCAGCCCAGACCATTACAGTCCATTACTCCAGTCCATTACACCCTGCTTTTGCAACACAGCTTAGTGACATTTTGGTTGTTCTGTTTAAAAAATATTGAAAATATCCGCAAAAACCATCCAACCTAATCCAAAAAGTTCCGAAAAATAGGAAAGAAATTGTTTTGTTGACATTGGATTAGCTGACTTTCCATTTCTATATGACGTACAAAAGTTAACTTTAAAAAATCGAGCCAGATTGCAAATTATCAATAATGTTTGTGCACAAATTATCAATTTATTATTTAAGTTCTACATTATTTAGTGCTTCATATATTTACTTTAGTGAGTTGCTATCCTAATAATTGCAATGACGTCACTCAAAATATTAATTTAGAATCTGACAAGTTGACTAGCTGATTGGCACTACTGCGCAGCATTCAGGATGTTTTGAGAATAACCCCGCGTTCGATGTCTCTCGGACGACGAAGATTCTACGCCGTCCGGCCAATCACATTCCATAACCGCAGCCGAGCCCCCGCTAACCTTGGACGGGATTGGCCGGACGACGTAGAATCTTCGTCGTCCGAGAGACATCGAACGCGGGGTAAAATGCGTTCACTACTATGCATTGCTCATCACAAGGCGTGCGATGCTCGGTTATTGTAGGGGGGTGGCACTACTTTGCTTCGCCATAGGTCCAGTACTGATGTCATTGGTTTCGGACCCGGTGACGTCAGTGCTGGCTACATCCGGGAACTTCTTGCACTTAATTCTCATTAGAGGTGGCCATATTGTTTTGTCCCGTGACGACACATTTGCGTCACTGGGTCCGAAACTGGCTGTAAACAAATCGCTCAGTGTCGCTACCAAAAAGTACTAAGGAAATTTGATGAACGCATCACCTTTGAGCAATAAACTGGACCCTGGGGTTTCACTTTATATACGCCTTTTGATCATAGAAATGTATCATTCACAAGGCCCTATATACCAGGTAGGGTCGTCCGGCGATTCTACCTGATCGTGACGTCAGCTTGTGACGTCATCTGGGGGCAAGTCTTGAAGCCCCGTTTGAGTCCCATGTAAATGGGCGATTTTTGAAGCGCTGTAGAACAAACTCTGTTGGAGCTAGCATAAAACTAAGTGCATCATCGGAAAGACGAGACATTTTTCTTTGAATTATCTAAGAGCAGTTTTTCACTAAACCCATTAGTTTTTCCGAAAATGCGTACAAAAGCCCCCATGCCTCCGCAGCCTCCCTTCCGCCGGCCGCTGCGCCGCCGCGGTAGTGTAGTGGTTAGGATGCTTGCACCGTGATCCAAAGGTCGCGCGCTCGAATCTAGGCGCGGGTCGGACTCAAGTCGAAATTGCAAGCAGAATATGTGTTTTTTCTTTAAAAATCACTTATATTACAGCTAACCGTTCATAAAACTATCGATAACAATTGACTGAAAGCCAAAATATAGATTACATTCTTATAAAACAAATTCAAATATGGCGGCCGTTGCGCTAGGCTCCGCCGCCGACTCCGCCCCTTCGTGTGACGTCATCTGTGCACTTGGACACACAGGGAGATAGGGGACGACATGGGCCTGATCATTCAGAGAAAATTTGTGTGAAAAGCGGAAGCCGTGAGAAAAAGAAATATTCACGGACATACCTAGGTACCTATTTGTATGCAATTACATGTATTATTGCGAGAGCCTATATTCTAAGCAACGGTCACTCTCCTGCTTAGGCACGAGAGTTAAACATTTCAAATTTTATTGTCGGGCTTGCACACAAATCGTGTCATTATTTGACTGATATTTATAATCTTGGCTGCAATGAAGTGAGAATTTATTTTATTTCCTACTATTGCGTTGCTGATTTTATCAAAATGTGTCTGCTTTAAACATATAACATGTTGGTCCTTGTGAAGGGTTTAGTTACTCTGACTTGTCATTTTTGTGTTTCAGGATGAAATTTATCTTACAAGAACTTTGAACGTATTTTGTCACTTGCTTTAATTCCTGTTATTGAATAAATTATACATCACATTGCAGCATCCTTTCTTGAATGTTATTTTGCATTACATTTCATCTTCAGAGCATACAAATAACGTTACCTTTGTTGATCTTGATCTTGAATTTGAATTGATTTTAGTTAGTTGAGCAGCTGTTAACTCAGTTTGAACACTTTATATTGCTGTCATAATAATCATTTACTTTCGATCATGAGCAAGTACCAAGAACACGATACACAAGATGGAACGAACGAAATACGAACTGCGAAACAAGCTCGAACAAATGCGAAAAGGAAGTTTACTAGAAAAACTATAGGTTTCTTTGAAATGATTGAAGGTGATCGACCTTTCTTAGCGATACAAGAAAAATATGTTGATGTTAAAGACGCATTCGGCCATATTGAACGATGCAATGAGCTCGTTAACTCAGCAATCAACGAAACTGGTCCACACCATTTGATATCGAAAATGTTGGAAGAATGTGACAACTACATGATGGAAATTGAACGCGAAATGGATAAAATAAGAGCTGAATTTGCATTGAGAGCAGCAAAGGAAAATCAAGCACAATCAGAACTGCGAGTGAGGCCGCTAGACACTCCACAATTTTCTGGAAACCTTCGTCAGTACTCAAGTTTCAAGCAAGATTTTCAAAGACTGATCGTTAGGCAATACGGGAAAGACCCTTTCGCATTACGGCAATGTTTATCCGGCGAAGCGTTACAAGTTATCGGAGGCGTAGAAAATAATTACGATGAGATGTTTAATAGGTTAGATGCCAAATTTGGTGAGCCAAGAAAGGTCGTTGACGCTATTTTATTCGACATAAAGAGACTGAAGCCGGTATCAGAAGGGGACAATATCAGTTTTATACATATGGTCGACGTTATTGAACGAAGTTGGTTGGAACTTAACAGATTAGGACTCTCACAAGAAATGGACACGACGACAATGGTAACTATGATTGAAAGACTAATGCCGAGAACGCAAAAACGAGAATGGGTGACAAAACTAGATAAACGAGAAAAATTGGACGCTACGGAAGGCTCTACATTTCAAAATCTTTTGTCTTATTTATTGCAAGAAAAACGGGTAATTGAGTATATGGATAGTGATATTCGAGGCCAATCGTATCCAAGGAAAATTAATCAGGCTAGCAAGATTTCTGATAGCATACAAAGGGACAATAACAATCATATTTTCACCAGCGATGAGGCCCAAATGGACGTGACGCAAGTTTATAATTATGTTCAGAACATTGCTGATCGCATGGGCGGGTTGTTGAAAACTGAACAGCGCAACAAAGATAAGGAGCGAACGAAAATAAGTGATATGAATATCAATTGCTGGTATCATAAAACCGATTCGCACTCGATTTACAAATGTAACGCCTTTCTAAATTTGATTCATGAGGAGAAACTGCGGATCTTGCGTCAACAAGGAGCATGTTTTAACTGCTTGCAACCAGGACACATTGCAGCTTCCTGTTGTATCGCGAATCAATGCGACAAACTGAAGTCATCCGGACAAGTTTGCGGGAAACGGCACCACCCTTGTCTTCATTTGGAACGCACTGTGCCTGCTAGCTCAAGCAATCCAGGAATCTACGCATGTAACGCAACACAAGAGGCTTTGCTGGCTGTCAGTGAGGTATCCTGCAATGACAAAAGGTTATCGGTCCTATGGGATTCGGGAGCCAATATATCACTTATCACTCATAAAGCTGCGGCTACAGCCAACCTCAAAGGAACTTCCATTGATTTAACGATAACAAAGGTTGGCAATCAGAACGAAACCATCAGAAGTAAAAGGTATCGCGTTCCGTTAACTGATGCTCGTGGGAAGTTATGGGAAATATTTGCGTACGGAATCGAGGAAATCACATCTGGTTTAAAGCACGTCAATATGTCATGTTATGCGCCGCTGTTCTCCCAGGTCAGCATCGAAGATATTGTCAGACCTTATGGTGCAGTGGATATGCTGATTGGCATTGACTGTTGCGCAATACTGCCACAGGTAATTGAGACTATAGGAAATCTCCAACTTATGAAAAACCAGTTCGGATACTGCATTCGCGGATACCATGGCACTCACGACCATGGAACTGGCAGTATAAAACAAGTTAAAATCTCCAGTGGAACGACCATGTACAACATCAATGCTATATCTGCGGACACTGTAACAGATTTAAAAAGGAAACTAGATGAGTATTTCACCGTAGACAACCTTGGGACAAGCTGTACGCCGAAATGTGGGGGATGCAAATGTGGAAAATGTGCTCATGGAAATGGCAATTACAATTTGCAAGAAGAAAGGGAATTGGCACAGATCAAGCAAGGCCTTACATTCGATCCAGAACTAAAGAAATTTACAGCTCATTACCCGTGGATAAGGAATCCAGCAGATCTTCCCAATAACATAGCAGCTGCTCAGGCAAAATTGAAATACACGGAACGACGACTAATGAAAATGGGAAAACAACACGCCGAGGCATACAATGAGCAAATGCAAGATATGGTAAAAAGAGGAATAGCAAGAAAATTAACTAGGGAAGAGATGGACAAATACGAGGGACCAGTGCATTATATTCAGCATCATGAAATTATAAAGCCAACTTCATCCTCTACTCCACTGCGAATTGTATTTAACTCTTCAGCATCGTTTATGGGTCATGTACTAAATGATTATTGGGCTAAAGGTCCTGATGTTATTAACAACCTTTTTGGTATCTTGCTCCGATTTCGTCAAGAGAAAGTGGGATTGGTGGCAGATATAAGCAAGATGTTCAATACTATACAACTGTCCGAAATGGATCAGCACGTCCATCGATTCTTATGGCGTGACCTGGACACCAGAAAAGATCCTTCTCATTATGTTTTGCTGGCGGTCGCTTTTGGTGATCGTCCTAGCGGCGCCATTTCTATGGTGGCCCTAAGAACTATTGCGGAGATGAATCAAGACAGCCACGAAGCAGCGGTAAAAATGATAACAAGAAACAGTTACGTCGATGATTTGATCCAGTCTGTACCTTTCGTTGAGGACGCCGTTGTTTTAGCAGATAGCGTTCAGTATATTTTAGACCAAGGTGGTTTCAAAATAAAACATTGGATAATATCTGGAGAACACACTATCGAACTGCAATCAAAATTAAGACTCGTGAGCGCTGATATGGAGAAGATTCTCGGTGTTTGTTGGTCACCAAGAAGCGATGAGTTCCTATTTAACGTTCAGATTAATTTTTCTCCGAAATACAAAAATGTTGCGACCGGTCCTGACATGACGGAGGCAAACATAGAGTCCGTTTTTCCTCTCATAGTAACCCGAAGAATGCTCCTAAGTCAGACGGCGCGTATCTATGACCCTTTGGGTCTCATCGCGCCAGTGACACTAAATGCAAAACTGCTTCTCCGGAAACTTGTCTCCAAACCACTTGTTGAGGAACTTGGATGGGACGACCCTTTGCCTGAGGAAAATCGAGCGGAATGGAGATCCTTTTTTGAACATTTGATGATGCTTCACAGTGTCTCTTTCGCCAGGTGTGTGAAACCGATAGAATCGATTGGCGATCCAACACTGGTCATATTCTCAGATGCAAGCATGCACGCTTATGGGGCTTGCGCCTATGCACAGTGGCTGCTAGGGACAGGAAATTACCAAGCGCGGCTTATTGCAGCTAAGAACAGAATAGCTCCAACAAGGCAACTTAGTATTCCTCGCCTAGAGTTATGTGGAGCATTATTGGGATGTCGATTGCGAGAAAGTATCCAGAACGAAATGGACTATAAGTTCGACAAAGTAATACACATAGTTGACTCTACCATTGTTCAAGCCCAAATCCAAAAGGAATCATACGGCTTCGGCACTTTTGTTGCAACGAAGATTGCCGAGATACAAAATAAGTCGGATCCAAGAGAATGGTGGTGGACGTCATCTGAAGAGAATCCCGCAGATATGGTGACAAGGCCACGGCATCCGAACGAACTCGGACCTGCATCTATATGGCAACAAGGACCGCATTTTCTTCAACAGCCAATTCACGAATGGCCCATTTCTCAGTCAGTGAAAGACCAAGAACTACCAGACAGAATAGGAATCCATATAGCAAGCATAGAGCCAATAAGGGAGCACTGCAAAATTGCAAAGGTCATTAATCTGGACAAATTCAACAACTTCACCAAATTACTCCGCGTTACCGCGCGCATTTTAGGCCTACTAACAGAAAGGTCACTGCGAGTTATGGGGAAGTTGCCGACAGTGAACACCTTGTCAGAGGCAGAGATTATATGGATCAAAGATGCACAAAGCACGTTTCTACAGAGTGATTGGCAAATGCGGTTCAACAGACTAGGCCCAAGTATGAACAGCTTCGGAGTAATCGTCGTGGGACAAAGGATATCGAAGTGGTTAAAAGAAAATTGGAACCAAGATCAATTCATATTGCTGCCGTCCAATCACAGATTTACGCATCTTTATATAAGACACGTGCACTGCCTGGATCATGCCGGAGTTGATGCTACATTCGCGAAGGTTCAAAGCAAATTTTGGGTTCCAGGAGCACGCAAGCTCATCAAGCAGGTGAAAGCAAAGTGTGTGATTTGCCGGAAATTCGAAAAGAAGCTACAGACTCAACTGATGGGAGAAGTGAAACCGGAAAGATTGCATCCTTCTCCACCGTTCTACCATACAGCCCTGGATCTGTTTGGACCATTTGTTATCAGAGATACGATCAAAAAACGAAGCACAGCGAAGGCGTATGGAGTCATATTTAACTGTTTGGCAAGTAGAGCAGTATATTTGGATGTCGTAGATGGCTACGCTACAAAGGATTTTTTGGTGACTTTCCGTAGATTTGTGACTATTCGAGGATACCCGGCGTCCATTCATTCAGACAAGGGTTCTCAGTTAATGGCAGCAAACAGAGAACTCAGAGATGTTGCAAGTAACCTCAGCTGGCCTGATATTGCGCAATATGGTGTCCACAAAGGCCTTGAATGGACTTTCAACACATCAGCCGATGCACCATGGCAAAACGGCTGCAGCGAGTCGCTGATCAGGCTCGTGAAAAAGGCTTTGGTTCTGGCTGTTGGAGATACGATTTTCACTGTAGGAGAACTACAAACAGTGCTGTTTGAAGCTGCAAATTTGTTGAATGAAAGACCCATAGGGCATAAGCCGGGAGCAGATCCAAAGCTAGGCACGTACTTGTGCCCAAATGATCTCATTTTGGGAAGAACAGGCATTGCTGTTCCCCAAGGTCCATGGCAGCAAACAGGCAGTTTTAATCAGAGAATGACAGCGATACAGAGAGCAGTAACTTCGTTTTGGAAGAAGTGGCAGAGCGATTACTTTTTCACATTAGTTGTTAGACAGAAATGGCATGTGAAGGAACGGAATTTAAGACCTGGCGATATAGTGCTAGTACAAGACACGAACGCTCTTCGAGGACAATGGAAGTTAGCCGAAGTAATGGACACCGAAGCAAATAGCGACGGAAAGGTCAGGGACGTGACTATACGATATAAGGTGCAAACGGGCAAATCGTCACAGTATTACGGTAGCCCGGACGTTATCGTAAAACGGTCCGTGCATCGACTGGTGCTTTTGCAAGAAGCCGACGACACGAGAAACGAGGGCAACGAAGAATGACCACCCCTCCGAGCAGCGGATGCAAAGTGACCAGCTGTCTTTCGCGGGGGGAGTGTATGCAATTACATGTATTATTGCGAGAGCCTATATTCTAAGCAACGGTCACTCTCCTGCTTAGGCACGAGAGTTAAACATTTCAAATTTTATTGTCGGGCTTGCACACAAATCGTGTCATTATTTGACTGATATTTATAATCTTGGCTGCAATGAAGTGAGAATTTATTTTATTTCCTACTATTGCGTTGCTGATTTTATCAAAATGTGTCTGCTTTAAACATATAACATGTTGGTCCTTGTGAAGGGTTTAGTTACTCTGACTTGTCATTTTTGTGTTTCAGGATGAAATTTATCTTACAAGAACTTTGAACGTATTTTGTCACTTGCTTTAATTCCTGTTATTGAATAAATTATACATCACATTGCAGCATCCTTTCTTGAATGTTATTTTGCAATACACTATTTGCGGCAATATAAAGGCAAGTGACACCGTGGGCAAGTGCATAAACGACGGTTGCGCTTCAAATCCCTTCATTTTCTTAGGTTTATATAGGGCCTTGCTTAGGTTTGTTAGACATACGGAATAATGGCACGCAAACGATGCTAACTCGTATGAAGGTAACCTTCATGCCTCCCCAAACTGCATGCACCATACGAGTACATGTGGGCGCCGAATGTCAATCCCATCGTGAGATGTGTTAGGCGCTCCCGGTGGATCAGATGCTGCATTAGTGCCTTTAATCATAAGATCGGCCTCTCTCAGTACTGAATGAACCCTGTAATTTGTAAATCGATGTGCTCGGAAACCTCTATGCAGGCACCCAATAATGCACCGTTTGATTTCCTTCGGACAGAACGTGGTGGTGGTGGTACTGCATCGGTGACAATTGTGATTTTGTGAATATAGTGCGTCCATGGGCGGCATCATCTTCCTAACTTTCTCATAACGCACACCTACGGGAGGCACTCCGCATCTGTCGCTTGCTTCTCTGAACACTACGTCAGAGGCATTGCCACCCTTCTGGGGACGGCGGCTGATGAGTGACGTGAAGCGAGTGCGATCGCCGACGCCATACCACTTTTTGCGTCGGCCGCCAGCGCATCTCTAAACGATGACGTAATCCGCGACCAAGGCCGGGCGGCGCGGGGCGGGCTGCGGGCCGGCCCAGACCGCTCCGTACGGCGTACGGGCCATCCCGTCGGTCTGGGAGGACGGTGCGGGCGGGAGCAGTGCAGTGCGCAGTCGGCGGTGCAACCAGCGCAGCGCGGAGCGGCGGCTGGTGGGAGCCGCCCGCCAGCGAGGAGCTGAACCAGGGAGACCGCCCGTCTTCGACACATCGGCACTGCACGTAAAGAGGTCAGCGAACGGGGTGGACGTAATCGGGGATAGACTGTGATGGTGCCGGGAATGCAGTGTGGGTGTGATGTGAAATGCGTCATATATAGGTGTAATTGCGTTGTCATGAGCGAACGTCCAAACTCCATACTAGCCCAGCGACACTGTCGTGGGTCCATCTGAGATGTACCCCTCACGTGACCTATCCCTTACCCCCATAGACGTCATAATGCGTCATTGTAAAGTGGCATGGCGCGGGCGGTCCTAGGATTTCATGTGTTTCCTTGCTGACGATTATTATTGGACATTGCATGTCACATGTAATTAAAAATCACCGAAGGCTGCTTAGTTTTGTAGCGTTTTAGTGCTTCTCTGATTTCGAGTTATGTAGTCATTCAAGTCATTCGGGGCGTAACTTGTTTATACAAGATGCAGATACTTGAATGAACAAATATCGAGTAGCTCTGATTCACGTTTGAGCATCGTAACACTCTCGAATAACACGGAGTACAGTACCCTCTAAAGATTCATCGTTTAGTCAACATACTGGTGAATTAAATAGGAATACGCAGTAACCATTCTTTTGGGCTGGGTACAAAACCGCACTGCACGCCCGTTCATGCGCTACGTCGAACGTCCCGACTTAGTCATTTCCGATTCAACACAGGCCACAGTTATCGGATGACGTGTAACAGCGACTGAATGGTGACTGGCGTGTTGCGCACATTTGCTTCTCACATACCCGCCAACCCTAATATCGCTGTCGGTGACGAATTCTTGCATCAAACGTGATATTCCTCCACACTGAGCTGCGACATTTCTCTGCACTCAGGCGCGATGTCGGCGACGAACGGAGGCGACGGGACCGGTCAGCCTGCCGTGGTGAGCGACCAGCCGACCGCCCTGGCCGGTCAGACCACCGAGGAGGGTGTCAAACTCAAACACTACGGTCCCGGACAGGTGGCCCCGCCGCCGCCCCCGGCGGAGGACGACTGCTGCAGTTGGTGCTGCGGCACGTCCGGCAGCGGCGGCGGCGGAGTGTCCAGGAGCCACCAGACCAACTACGGAAATAACCAATACATGTTCGCCAGTGGCGGCAACGACAGCGGCTGGAGCGGCAGCGGCGGCGGAGACGACGGCGGCGGCGGCGGCAGCGGCGGCGGCGGAGACGACGGCGGCGGATGTGACAGCGGCGGGGGCAGCAGCTGGGGCGGAGGTGGTTGTGACAGCGGCGGCGGCGGTGGCGGCGGAGGCAGCAGCTGGGGAGGCGGCTGCGACAGTGGCGGGGGCAGTAGCTGGGGCGGTGGATGCGACAGTGGCGGCGGCGGCGGCGGAGGTGGCTGCGACAGCGGCGGCGGAGGCGGAGGCTGCGACTAAATACGCAGCTGACGGGCACGAACTATTGCTTTGTGATAATTACTTTCATCCGCACCAATTTCCAGCTAAGGACAAATAAATAATCACGTCACTTTAGCTCATTAGTCCAATCAAGCCAAGGCTAACGGTATGTGGTAAGCGGTGCCGGAAGCACAACATCGTTGGAAGTCAAAAGCGAGAAAGAACGGTCGTTTTTCAATGCCCACGAACTGTTTATGCTTGTATATAGGGCCGCTCACGTTCAACTCAGAGGATATTTAACAATGCCGCTTATGCGCTATTTGAAGCTTAGAATATGACCGATCAGGCGCCGCCTCATGAAGCGGGCGCGACGCCACTGGCATGAGCATCACTTTCGCTTGTTAGTTCATAGGTGAGTAACGTCTTTATGGCATATGCATAATTCTTGATTATTCTAAGGAAGTATCATTTGACATGTTGTCCACATTTTAGGAGAGCGGAAGCTCCCACACTGATCATTATTCATCAAATAATAATCGGCATGGGCCACTGTCGCATTCGATGAATTTATCGCATTCTGCTCGATAGTTACTTAAGCCTATATTTTGAGCATGAAACAAGTTAAATAAATATCCAAAAGAAAGATTTACACATAAGTTATATTGTATGTTATGGACTCTTTGCACGAATGGCGTTATACATTACATAGCCTAGCCGAAGAAAATGATTATCGGCGATTGGTGAAATTCCACCATTTACCGACAAACCACACACACAAACGGTGTCATCAACAGCCTATGGATGGAGGTGCCATTCCCGTATTAATAAATAATGGACCTATTGCTACTATATAGCCATACTATTGACACGCGTCGCCAAGATCAGACTGGCGAAATATACATTACAATATACAATATATGCATGCAACAGCTGCGCAGTGCATCGACGCACAGGCAGACAAACATTGTTAAACAATTTGCTACACTGTACCCAATATCGTGAAGCCTTGGGCTTGACTGCACCTACTCATAATTCGCAGCAAACGTACAAAACACCCCACCGCCGTCCCGATAGTCCCTGGTCGATATACCGCACTGACCACAACAGAAGCGAGCCAGCCCGGTCTTCGATCGGCCGTCCGAACACAGGAAAGGCGCCACTGGGGACCGGCGGACACCTAGAGACGGTCTGACCGCAGGGAAAACACGAGCCGACACTACTACAGTGCAGACACGGCCCACAAGGAGAGACGAGGAGACGCACGGAAGCGAGATGAGGCCGGCGACATCGGCACAGTACACGACAGGGCGCTCAGGTACCGACTCTGAGAGAACGCCCAGCCCCGTTGCGGCTACGAACTCTACACTACGCTGAAATGAACTGAAATTTCAAATAAGTCAGCCAGAACGCCGGTTCTTCAAATGTTGCTAAACGGTTTCCCCAGACAACGCAGCAGCTGAACTGGTTTGAGAACGTAGCGAAACGAGCCAGCCCGTAGTTGAACGTATCGTAAATACTTTCGGAAAGAACACTTCACATCGTGCTGACATGGCACTCACGGCTCAAAGCGGGACGGCCGACCACCGCAGCGCCACCCACCGTTTGTTCTCGGTCCGACCACCGGTAGTTCGCCGCGGCGCCGCTAGGCGTCACCAGCGTCGGCCGTCTCGACCATGGGCCCGTACCGGGAGGTGGTGCGCCCGCCGCGGATGATCCGCTGTCGCTCACGCTCGTGAGCCATGCTCAGTCGGATGTTCTCGTCCTGATGGAACTTGCACATCTTGAGGACGGCGCATACGCAGAGTCCCACCGATGCCGACCAGAGGCACCAGGCGCCGAACTGGGGACGCGGACAGGGAACGGACGGAAGGGAACGTTAGCAGGGGAGAGCTGCAGCAGTCCACCATTACCGCCAACAAAGCGAAATTCATCTCGTTTCGTTTATAACAGAAGCAGCTACTGTATAATTTACCCCGTCCCGTCAACTTCGGCAGATCAGGACGGTGTCAACTATGACAGTTGAGAACGGTTTATTGTTAGCACAACCTTTGAATGATTGGTATGCTTTGGTAATCGGTTAGTAACATCTCAATATCCCTGTGGACCGAGCTATAGCATTCATCAGCTGTTCATTCGAATCACTGACCTGTGCCATGCCGATCTCCAGGTAGAAGTTGGCCGTGTCGATGTTATCGGCCACGTCTATCTGATTCTGGGTGGCATCAGAACACCTGGCGGCGATAGACGGCACGGCGTCACACGGCAGTATGAAAGGCGTGACAGCGCGGCGTCACGTACACAAGGCGTGACACCATGCCACTGGACTAATGACAGAATGACAGACACGAAAAACGGCGCCACACAGCTGCGAACTGGCGGGAGAGAGCATGCAATAATAAACAACAATATTCAACAGACGTTTGATAGCATCCTTTCAGCATCTCTCCAACCACTCATCTGTAAGCCAGCCTGCCCTCCAGCCATTGTATTCCCCATTCCCTCTCACCCACCCAGCCACACTCACGGGCTAGCCCGGGGACACCCGCTACCACTAACTCACGTGGCGAATCGTTTCGTGATGTTGTCGCACCACACCTCGTAGCCCAGTGTGACGAACAGGGCAGCCACCAGGGAGGCGAGCGTCGTGAAAATGCACACTATCATCTCAACAAACGCCCCCGAGAATGACCTGAGGGGAGCGTGGAGAGACGTTAGCTTACTGCGCGACTGAATTGAAGGTCAGTACGCAAAACACGCTGTACACGTAAAGCTATCAGAGTCAATGAGGGAACATTTAAACATTCATCATGTCTATAATAACTGCTGCCTGCTTTATCATGTTACACATCCAAAGCATGGTAGTTTCAGTGTCGAAGTCATCTTTAGTACCTAAGCACTGGTTAAAAGCACGCTGGATTTCGATCATTCGGGAAACGAAGCTGCACTCGAATTCCTCGGCAGCCGCCAGTCACATCAGATTACACTGAACACGATTTTGGAATATTTGGTATGAGACCATCATCCCACCAGCTCTACTCCACAGGCAGTCACAGAGCCGTACCTATCGTACGCCGACTCCGACCCGCCCCACTCACGTGTCCGTGTCGTGGCGGAGGAACAGCATGGTGCGCACGGCCTGCAGCACGCAGATGAGCGTCAGCGTGGCCGACATGAAGATGACGTAGTAGCAGTAGATGTTGGACGCCCACTGCGGCACAAACTGGCCATCCTGCTCGCGGAAGTCACCGGCAGTGAACAGCAGACATTTGTATCTGATGGGGACAAAGACAGGGAGCAATTGGTCATTGGTAGGTCATGTCATTGATATCATTTTCACCAGTAAGGACTGTTAAGATAAAAGAGGCTCGAATATAAAGGTTGCAACAGAAAAGCAGTCAATGCACTAATGACAACTAAGCAAAGTTTGCTCTGCAATCTGACAATTGATAGCTTTATAAGAAATTGAAAACATGGTCAGTGTTCCAAAATCTGTAGATGTGGGTGGGAAACGACATCCAAATGAAGATCATTTTCCACTCTCACCCCCAGTTTTCAAGCCCAATTTTCCACTCCCAATTCCACCGAGAAGGAGCAATTGCATGAATGGTTGTTTTGCATCTGTCACAATTGTAGATATATTAATGTTTTTGATCATTTTCCCACTGTTTTTGGGCCTTACCTGACCGACCATTTTTCACTCTCATCCTTTTTTGGTCAGCAATTTTCCCCTCTGACACCCAAGCAAAAATATGATTTTGGGACACTGAACATGGTAGGTTTGGAAGAGACATGTTGGTGAAAAAGTTTTTAAAATGTAATGCCACCATATGAAACAATGCAGAATGTGGTCAGCAGATGCAGAGCAACCAAATAAAAATGGATTTAAAGCACAGTCAGCAAAGTTCACCTAAAGTCCTTGAAGTTGAGTAGCATAGGCACCAGCACCACAAAGCTGAGACACACTGACACCAGATAGCCGGTCAGCTGCACGGCCAGCACCATGGTGACTGGTGTCTGGGGGCTCTGTCTGGAACACAACAGGGGTGTCACAGCATAGCTCATATCACTGACAGATGCTGCCTGCTGGCAGGTGGCAACTGGCAATGGACAGTAGGCATCATGCCTGCCAATAATATTTAGCAAGTTTTTTCATAAGTATAGCAGGAACATACATCTGACAGGCAGACAATATACTGGGATCATGCTGAAATTTGGGTACCTATTTCATTGTTTCAGGATAAAAAATACAGCTGGCATTTTCCAAGACGTTGGAAAGTAGGTACTTTATCAAAATAGTAGAAAATGGTTATGAAAAACAGGGAGGTTGGAGACACCAACACCCCCAAGCATTTCATTTCTGATTATACAAAGCTTAATAGTATCACAAAAACACTTATCTAGCATTTCCTGCCAGTTAACTGCAACCTCTTACCCTCAAATGCTATCAAAGTTGATGTTAAAACATCAGGCATAAGCATGCACACTGTTTTCTCAGCAACAGCCTGCAAATTTGAAAACCTTGCTGAACTGTTGTAATATATAATAACACTTAGAGAACACAGTACGCCCTTTTTCCTTTCACTTCATTTCAGAAAAAAAAACACTAAATGCAATGACCATTCTTAAGGGCAAGGCATATAAGTGGGTGACTTAAATTGACTACATGTTGCTGCATTATTTTATCAGAACAGAAAATTAAGATTGACCTATTTGAATAAATTGAAAGCAAAAGGAATAAAGAAAAGCATCCAGCACGTTGTTCCAGCCTCCAGGGAACCTCAACTCAAGCATGCATTAGTCTTGTGATGCTTTTTGATGCATTGAGGGGTTAGATAAATGATAGCAACAGAATGAATGATATTTATATTACCAGGACTATTACAGGCAGTTTACTCCGCACATTACAAGTACACAATACCGAGTGTAAATTAGATAGGAAACATCACGGTATATAGAGAACTGGGAAACACATAGGAAAATACAGTGTAGAAAATAAAGCAACTACTACAAGAACCTGTTCAGTAATAGATAACTAGCAGGATAATCAGTTTCTCTCATGCTGATTCGGACGTCAGAAAACGTTTATTGGAGAAATCACCATGGAAACTAGCAGGTATCATTAGTTCCTGAACAGCTTATTTAAGATGTAGCAACTGCACCAGAGCTGTCTCCCTTTGTAATTTGGTAGCATTGCTACCATTTCACCTGCTAAATGAAGTTTACTTTTATATGCTAAGAAAATGCAATCATTCAGCATGTAGTAATAATCGTAATAATAACACGGCTTTGAGGTATATTATGATAGATAACTGATAAATCTATTCGATAGAAACCGAAGCCTCATGCTGATGAACCCATAAAAAAGCTAAGAAAAAGAAAAGTTTTTCCCTTGGCTTTATAAAAATATGCTCATCACTTGCCAAGCATCGCGTCGTATACGGTAGATATTTACCAATAAGTACATAAGACCATAGGCGGCGGAACGGGGAGGGCACCGGGGCACCGTGCCCCTTTTGATTTTGGCATTTAAACATTAGCCCTATGGGCGTTGCATGGAAAGAATGGGACCAAAAGTCGGCAGTGCCCCCCTTAGTTGAAGGTGTTCCGCCGCTACTGCATAAGACGCCTTTATACGCGGCGATAAACGAACGCGAAAAGCAATTCCACTTACCTGCACTTACAAATGTTTGAGGGACTTCTTCCAAAGGCTGACCTATGCTGTATGCAGTATGCACGGCAACTCACTAACCGGTCTGGTGCGCCAAAAGTGAGAGCAACCGGCCCATCTAGCCGTTCTTGAGATGTGGAAAGCGGCACCCTCCACGTGCGAACGTCCAAACTGGACCTTACCAAATTTTTGCACGACATCCTTGATCCTTCTTGCCTAATGGTGTAGGTACAAAAGTTTAGCACAATCGGCCAGCCGTTCCCGAGATTTGAAAACGACCCCTGCACACGAGTAGCACCCCAACCATGACATATGGTAATTCCAGGAGTGTGTTAACCCGCGCCCCACTGGGGGGGGCTATTTATAGCCCCCCCTCCCGTTTTTCCGCAATAACTTCAAAACCAATTGACGGATCGACGCCAAACTTTCAGTACCTTTGGCTGCATCAATTTGACACCTTGTGTCAAAATTTGAACTTCGTAGCTACCATAGGTCGGCCGGAAATGACGTCAGAGTGACGTCATGTTCGTCCGAATTCGACGCAAAACATTGAACCACGCCAATCGCTCCCAAGAGCTCAGTTTTTAAGCTAGATCCAATTTCTTTGCATGAAAGGACTCAGAATTGACCGCGCTATCAAACTGCTATCTCGGATTTTCAAAATTTTGAAAATTTCGAAAATTAAATATAGGGGAGATCCGTGTAAGACGCCCAGGGTCGGTAAGAGGCCCCATCGCTTTTTTTACCAAACCAATAATGTTATTTATTTTTTAATGTTCTTGTAAAGCAGAAGCCCTCTTGAAACAACAACTCACGAAACCTGAGGTATCAGGTGCGTCGCAGCGACTTTTGGCAAGCCTGTTTCTGTTTTTGCCCCTTTACTTGCTAGATATATGCATCTTTATCACCCTTATATATCTGAAAAAAACAATTACTATCAAATGCAATCTTATCTCATCGAAATTGTCACATGTTAGCTTCAGAATAGACCATGTTCTGGTGCGCTGCAAATGTCTCATAAACCATAAATATTGTGACGTTAAAACACTGCATTTTTTAAGAGGCCCTCCCTTCGAGGATTATAAAACGCCCCCCCCCCCCCCGATAAAAAGCGCCCCCGATGCTAAAACGCCTGCACCTGCGGCAGGCGTGGCATTCTTTTTTCAAGGAGTTTGTTTTTGTTTCTTTTTTTCTGTTTCTTTTTCTAGAGGTAATAGGTACAATTTTCGTTGGTCATCAGCGTTTGGTTGTGCTAGTTTTCGCATTGTTCGAGCGCTTTGGAAGTGTTATTGGTTTCGATAACACCGTATTTGCTTAGCTTTTCGAAATAAAAGGCCTTGCAGCTATGTTCGCAAAACGTCTTTTACAAGTCGACTTGCCTTGTTAAACGCCCGAGGGGGGGGGGGGGCGTCTTACCATACCCATAGTGTAAGAGGCCCTTTTGCAACTTTTTCCAAAATGTTAAAGTTTACGGTTTGTGTACCCCCTAGATTCATTTTGAATGCAAATATGTATGGGAAAATGATGCATGCTCACAGCGCATGCACACGTTAGCTCTTGAATATTATTAGTTGTCTAAAAATAGCAACTGAGCTTAAGGGGGGGCCTCCTGCACCACTCTCCCCTAATAATATTCAAAATTTATATTTTTATATTTTTTTTCAAAAAGTTTTTGACTTTTCGAAAAAAAACCGGAACATATGTGACAGAACGCATGATTATGACTAACTCTAGCAAGTTTTAGCTAAATATCTTCAAAAATGGCCAAGTTATACGCATTATTGCAAAAAATCACAATTATTAATTTTTCAAATCAATTTTTCAGTACATATTTGACATCGTACACCAATATAAATGGCACCATCGTGTTCCTGAGCTCAAACTGCATCCAATAGACACCTTTTTTGTTGAAAAATTTTAACTTCAAAATTTGACCTTTTTTGACCTGAAAGTGACCTGACCTAAGCTAACTTCGACTCAAAATGACCTCAAATGACACAGACGACATCAAATTCGAAATCTATGGCCTAAATTGACCATAAAACATGTGTCACGTGACCGACGCATGATATAATATTTCCGTGACCTGTGATGACCTGACCCTGACCTGAAAATCAAAGTACAAGTTTGGTACCCTCAAGGTATCTAGAGCATCTGTTCACGAGTGTGGAAACCAAAAATGAGCATGATCTGAGTTGTAAGACGGCGGCCAGAGCCCAAAATGTGAACAAGCCAAAATGCTAATAATTTTTACTTTGACCTGACCTGTGACGTCATCGGTGACCTCGAGGTCAATGAAATTAGGTTTCGCTCGACAGTTTTTCCGGGGCTATCAGACGCCGTTTGAATTTTGACAATCGGCCCAGTAGTTTCGGAGTTAGGAGGGGGGGCTATGAATAGCCCCCCCCCCCCCCCCAGTAGGGCGTGTTATACACAGACCCCAGTGGGGCGCGGGTTAATTCTCAAATTCTGGAGATGAGAGAAGCACCATTCAGCTGTTCCAATCAGCCAAGCAAAAACACCAAGGGCGCGCGGCGATGGACAATTCTTTTCCTCTTCAAGAACATCTGTGGTACAATACGCAATTTAGCTGCACGACTAGGTAATGTAGGGTGTCCGGTGTCCCAGAAGTCTTGAAGCCACTTCGGTCACATGTTACTCGCACGTGCACGCATAAAAATAAGCAACACATGGTCGTTTATAACCTACATGCTTCTAAGTTTATGATCCATTTAATTTGAACCAGGTTGACATTTGTCTAAGCCCCATAATACTGCGACGAATCAAAGTAATGAAAAGTGGGCTGTTTTCCTAACGCGTTCGAGCAGTTGAGCGTTATTTTCGAAATGGATGCGTGAAAGCAGCCCAGATTACTTTTTCCGATAAGTAAATCATTCTGTTGCTAGCACACCCTCGGGGATGAATGATGATAGGTACGCTGTTTCATGGTCCGCTTCAGGGAATTCGACTCTGAAGCTGACAAGAAACGGGCATAGCGACACTGATATATGGGCTATGCTATATGGCAAATCAGGAGAGCTTGGCGCCGCCGAAGAGCGTGCTATCTTGCTCTCGTCCTTGTGTGACTCACAGCGGTGACGGTGACCACCTGACCAACGTGGTGCTCTGCGTATAAAAAATATACAATACTTCCGTTCATTCTCTTTCGTTTGAGGTATCATTTGTCTCAACCGGTGGCATAGCACGCTCACACGACAAAAATAACAACCTTCGATACCTTTGGAAGTGGACAAGAATCTGTTGTGCAAATTTGGGGTACCTACGCGACATTTGTTAAGACGGTGACCACCTGACCAACGTGGTGCTCTGCGTATAAAAAATATACAAAACTTCCGTTCATTCTCTTTCGTTTGAGCTATCATTTGTCTCAACCGGTGGCATAGCACGCTCACACGACAAAAATAACAACTTTCGATACTTTTGGGAGTGGACAAGAACATGTTGTGCAAATTTGGGGTACCTACGCGACATTTGTTAACCCGCGAGTTGCTGGGGGGGGGGGGGGGCGTTAAACGCCCCCACTTTTTTCGCCGGGCCATAGCATAAAAACGGCGCGCCGCAGGCGCGCTAAATTTTGGGTTTCTGTAGGGAATTGATTGAAGCTTATTGTGACAAAGTTTCAAAAAAAATCGGTCGGAAAATTTTTGAGATATCGAGGTTTTAGTGACGTCATGATTTCTGAGTTTTCGACCAAAAACGGCATATGTTCAAAAATCATATAAAATCACAGAATAGACATACAGACATGCCGTAAACGCCATTAGACTGCCAATACCATGAACAATGAAATGGCTATCTTCGATTGTTGATTATCGTTCCGCATTTTCGAAAATCTTGAAGTGAATCTTGGCAATTTCTCGTGACTACTTCACGACCATGATGCATGCATTTCTTAAATTGAACTTTTTTAGCCAAACACGTACACATATGGTAAAATGAATGTCACCATCGTGTTCTACGCCCCAAATTACCCATAAAACATGTGTCACAGGCTGCGAATATCAGTT